GGGGGGGGCAGCTCAACAAGTAGAGGAACGAGAATGAAATGGTACCCTAGATTTGTTTTCCCTATTCTTTTTCTTTTGTTTTATATTAAAACTTTTCTTTATTTATTTATTTATTTTTTATCAAACAGGGATGGACCCAAATAAAACAAAACCAGATGGGCTGGCCCTTATAAAAAAAATAGGTATCATCTTGTTAATCCTTTCTCGAAATAAGAGTCACTTAAAAAGAATTCGAGAAAATAAATTAGGAGGTTGACTTATTCTTGAAACACAATAAAAAAAACCAAAAAAGAAATTACATTTATAAATTGTTAGAATAAAATGTAATAAAAATCTCTTCCGAAATTATAAATCTCTGAGTGCAACAAAACTTAATTCTAATTTACCCAAAAATAAAACTCCAAAATAAGAGATCCCAAGAATTTAAATTATCAACTAAGGGGAAAATCCAAAGTCATAATTAAATTCTTAAAGTAAACGAGCCTGCAGGGCGTTACAATGCTCCTATCCTTAGTTTAATCACCTAAACTGCAAATAAATCATCCAACCCTTCCAGTATTTAATGGATGTGTTAACTTTTTAATTGGCTAAATAAATTTGTTAACTTTTACGAAAAATTTTAGTTTATGAAAGATATAAGACTGCAGCCTTTAATTCTATGCTATCCTTTTTCAAAAGTTACTTAATTCTCCACAAAATTGAAATTTCTAGATTCATTAATTTTAATGCTGAATTTAAAAGAAGTAAAACTTAGCGGCTGGAAATTAAGGAGGTTGCAACCCGAATGAACATTGCCCCACTTTCAAGCTAGAGGAGTATTGCCCTTCTCTCTCAAGCTAGAGGAGTAGAACTTGTTAAATTCCACAAGAATGTCTTGTTACAAAATGTAAAAGTTAAAAGCACATAAAAGATGGAAAGAAATAAATGAATCTGGAAATTTCAATTGATAGCTACGATTCACCAGTAAAGCTAAGAGTAAGCTGAAAACTAAATGGAAAACAAAACGAAAAGATAAAGAAAAGAAACATTAAACGTTTGGCAAGTTAACTACGTTTTAGAGCTAAAAGAAGCTAAACTAAGCTATGTGATGTGTTGAGTGAAGAGGGTGCTGATGTTGTTGGCCGAGGGAGGTCGCCCTTCGAGTAGATCGAAGTTTATGTTATTATTCGAAGAACTTCTATGGGAAACGGAGCTTGAAGATCTGATCAGATTGGACGATTTAAGAGAATGACATGGAGGATTATTATGTGGTGTCGCCAGTCGAAGGAGGTCGCTATCGTCGATGCTACCGTCGTGGTTTTGCCAACGTTGTTCTCGCAAGAGGAATAGAGGAAGGCGACGGCATCGGCTAGCCTTAGTGAAAAAGAAAGAGAGATTAGGGTTTGGTGGAGCGAGGGAGAGAATGAGAGAGGGGTATGTGGGTTTTGAGAGAGAAAAAGATTAGGGTTTCTTGAATTTGGGAGGTGACCTAAATCTTGATTTTTCCTTATTTGTAATTTGTTTATTTATTTATTAAAAATATAAGAATATAGGTAGTTTGGTAATTTTCGCATGGCCCATCCTCTGTTTTAAGAAATTTGTAGATTATTAAGATTTAAACCATTTATGGAATTAGGTTGTTGAAAAAATCTATCTGTGTACTTCTCTCTTATTATTTTAATTATTTTAATGCAAAATGGGTCATTAGACTTAAAAAGTCCAATTAAAATAATTGGGTCGTCTTGAGGCCCAATCATATAGGAAATAGCCTATTGGATTTTTGGAAGCTCAATGGGGTATGACTTGCAAAGAGTCGTAGACTCAAACCGGTAAGATGGGAGCATAAGAAATTTAAAATAATAAAACTTTAATTTGCATGATTAACTTAGAGACTTAGTACCTATTATGATTTTGCCGAAAATCTATTTAAAGAGACTTATTGACAAAACCTTAAATAAATCCAAGCAAAGTCCGAGGGGATTGTAATCTAAAGGATGTCTAAAGGATTGTAATCTACCACGCTTTTGCTGCGCTACTCTGCTCCAGGAGGATGAGGGGGAATTGGAAGATGGGAGTCATTTGGCACTTGTTACAAGGAGACTTCTTAACACTCAAGTTAAGGGGGATGATGTTAATGACCAAAGAGACAACCTATTCCACACACGGTGTTTAGTTAATAGGACTCCTTGTAGTCTTGTTATCGACAGTGGAAGTTGCACTAATGTAGTAAGTACATTCTTGATCAAAAGACTGCAAATTCCAACTCAACACCATCATAAACCTTACAAGCTTTAGTGGCTCAACGATAGTGGAACAATGAAGGTTGTTTCTCAAGCTTTAATTTCTTTTACCTTAGGAAAGTATACAGATGAGATTTTATGTGATGTATTACCTATGCATGCCAATGACATCTTGCTTGGCCGACCTTGGCAATTTGATAGGAAGGTCATCTATGGTGGTTATTTGAATAGGTACTCTTTTACAAAAGATGGTAAAAAAACAACTCTTGTACCTTTGCATTCGGAAGATGTATTTGCTGATCAATTAAAGTTGGAGAAGAAAAGAAAAGAGTTTGAAGAAAAAGAATTCAAAGAAAAGAATGAGATGGGTGAAAAAATAGAGGAAAATGAGAGAGAGAAAAAGTGGAGAAAAGAGCGAAAAAAGAGATGAAATTGATAGAAAAGAAAAGAAAGTCAGTTGTTTGGCTAGAGTGGGAGAGGTGAGAAGGCAATGTTTTCCCAAAAGCCCATATTTGTACTTATGTACAAAGAAGGGTATTTGGCTTCTAACGATAACCTTTTGCCTTTGCCGAGTTTGTTTCAACCTCTTTTGCAGGAATTTGAGGACGTGTTCCAAGAAGATATACCTAAAGGGTTACCTCCAATTAGAGGTATTGAACATCAAATAGACTTCATACCGGGGGCTACCATTCCAAATAGGCCAACTTATAGAGCAAATCCAACTGAGACAAAGGAAATTCAAAGGCAAGTGGAGGAGCTCATGGAGAAAGGCTATGTTCGCGAAAGTTTGAGTTCATGTTCTGTACCGGTCATATTGATGCCAAAGAAGGATGGAACTTGGCGCATGTGTGTGGACTGCAGAGCCATCAATAAAATCACTGTAAAGTATCGTCATCCTATTCCTAGGCTAGATGATATGCTTGATGAATTGCATGGTTCTTGTCTATTTACAAAGATTGATTTGAAATCTGGATATCATCAAATTAGGATGCATGTAGGAGATGAATGGAAAACAGCTTTCAAAACTAAATTTGGATTGTACGAATGGCTTGTTATGCCTTTTGGGTTAACTAATGCTCCTAGTACATTTATGCGCTTAATGAATCATGTTTTGAGAGAATACTTGGGGAAGTCTGTTGTTGTGTAATTTGATGATATTTTGATTTATTCAAAGAATTTGCTTGAGCATGTAGAGCATGTTAGATCCATTTTGATTACACTTAGAAAAGAGAGGCTTTATGCTAATTTTAATAAGTGTTGCTTTTGCATGGAAAAGGTTAACTTTCTTGGCTTCATAGTTGATAAAAATGGAGTTGAAGTTGATGAAGAGAAAGTTAAGGCAATTAGGGATTGGCCAACACCAAAAAAAGTCAGTGAGGTTCGGAGTTTTCATGGTCTAGCTAGCTTCTATAGAAGGTTTATAAAGGACTTTAGTACCATAGCTGCACCATTGAATGACTTAGTGAAAAAGAATGTTGTTTTTGAATGGGGGGAAATGCAAGAGAGAGCTTTCAATGAACTTAAGGGAAAATTAACCAATGCACCATTACTTGTCTTGCCTAACTTTGATAAAACTTTTGAAATCGAGTGTGATGCAAGTGGTTTGGGCATAGGTGTTGTTTTGATGCAAGATGGAAAGCCCTTAATGTATTTTAGTGAAAAACTAAATGGGGCTTCGTTGAACTATCCTACCTATGATAAAGAATTGTTTGCTTTAGTTCGTACATTGCAAGTATGGCAACACTACCTGTGGCCGAGAGAATTTGTGATCCACACCGATCATGAAAGCTTGAAGCATCTTAAAGGTCAAAGCAAGCTAAATCGTAGGCATGCAAAGTGGGTAGAGTTTATTGAAACATTCCCCTATGTTATCAAATATAAGCAAGGTAAGGACAATGTGGTTGCTGATGCATTATCAAGAAGGTACAATCTCTTTACTTCTCTTAGTGAAAAAATTCTTGGATTTGAGCATATGAAGGAGTTATATAGAGATGACCATGACTTTGGAACTATTTATGCATCTTGTCTTGGTGGGAAAGCTGTGGATGATTATTATGTGTTTCATGACCTTTTGTTTAAAAAAAGTAAGCTTTGTGTTCCTAAATGTTCTATAAGAGATTTGCTTGTGAAAGAAGCCCATCGGGGTGGATTGATGGGACATTTTGGGATTCATAAAAGTTATGATATGTTGCATGAACACTTCTTTTGGCCTAAGATGAAACATGATGTGCATAAGGTTTGTAGACAATGTTTTAAATGTAAATCGGCT